GTGCAGACGGATGGCGTCATTTCATGAGGGCAGACGTGACCCGCGCAAGGTGCCATTCCGGTGCGGGGGAGGGGTGGTCGTGTGTTAACGATATGCTTGGTGGTTGGCGCGTGCGTCGCGGCCGCCGTTGTCATAAAGCCGGGGGGGGGGTGCGCTGGAGCGGCTCCTACATACCCAAGACCCCGGTTCATGCAGCGACCGGTCGGCAGGGCCATGAACTCACAGCTATCATCTTTCGCTCTCCGAAATTGTCCTCGGGTCAGTGACTGCACCTCTAAGCCAGAAGAGTGTGTCCGGTCTGAGTCTCTACACGAGGGAGCAGGCCACTCTAATTTGTGTAGGCTTTGATATCTGACAGTTGGCTGGATAACTGGCTCCTAGTATATGAGGGTAGGGGGTGACTGAGTCGGTCTTCATGGTTTCTTCTTAATGTGCCGTCAGTAGCAGTCACAGCCGGGATATCTGAGTTGCCCCATAATCTGTTAAGACCTGCTGTATTGAGCAGAGAACGAGGTCGTGTGTTGTAGGCGTGGACGAGCCGTCTGGCCTTGATGGTCACTGCGCCGCTTCCCACCTCTATCTAGCCATCGACTACGAGAGGGTAGAATGAGTTAGCTGCTATGCTGGCCTTCCTTCCCATAAACTGATTCACGCGCAAGTCAACGGTGCCGTGTCCACACTGAACGATGTAGCTCGCAGTGGTCGATTTCTCAGTAATCAGGCTATCTTCCTCTCCACCTGAAAGGAAGGTCACATTCCGAATGACCGTACGATTGCTGTTTTGCGCAAATTCGGTTCTCCCCTTTTGGTTGCTTGCCAGTATGTTAAGACATGCCACAGCTTTGTCTCGGATTCAGGCTTATCCCCTATTACTATCCCGATAGGCTTTTGAATGTTACATTCACGTGACTGAGTAATTTTGGGATAAACTGTTCCGAGCCTTTTATCATTCCTTATTTTCCCATTCTAAAATAGGATTTGTCGCCTCTCAACAGATGATCATCGTACGCACTTTCTATTGAATGAATGCTATTATTGAGCCTGCACTAAAAAGTTGCATTTCTGCTGATGCGTAAGCCATTGTTCTACCACGAGCACGATATTGACAGTTAATGGAAGTCCCAGTAAGTTATCCCTAATAGAGATTGTTGGACGTTCACTCATTCGCAAGACATGAACTTAACAGTTTTAGCATTAAATACATTAGGCTACATGGACCTAAAACGTAGACTCTAAAATATGCATTCAGAAAGCAATTTATCATTTGTTCGGGCGAGATTACGAGGGAGATAAAGAACGTTTTCAGTATGAGATGGGTAGATGCCAGACAAAAACACGTAAATAAAGATTGACAGGTGTAATTAAAAATGTTTCAAGTTTGTTATTCTTGAACGTGGTACCTGTGGTGAAGGCTGCAATTTACTCGAAAGAATGTGCGCGTCGTCGGCTTACTGGAAAAATACAAATGAAAAAACACCATAGTGATTAAAATAAAATAATACGCCAATGGATTAACAGCGGTTAAGGTCTGTGATTTTGGCGGTGCTCTCAATGAGAGCCTAAGCTATTTTATTACACGGGATAATGGCTGTTAGTAGTGTCCGGGTAATGACTTTGAAAGCGACTTAGGCACCTGATAAATAATACAGTGAGAGGTTGCGCGAAATTATGCAACAGATATCAGGGCCTCATTTGGTGATTTTGAATGCGCACAGCTACGTGGCGCCTGGTTCGCAAATATTCAGCGCGACACTGTTTCACTGCGTTACAAATTTCCAGTCGTAGAAAACAGGTCATCATTTCGAGTGCCCTGACGGACTCATTGGTGGAATGAATGAGGAGTGAAGCGCCTGCTATGCCATGAACAGCAAACCATGGCATTTGCCATTTGGACCTGGTTGCTCTAAACTGCTCATAGCATTTCAATCATTGACTACTGCCCATTTAGCCTTCTTGCGTCTTCTTATCCTTAGGGCAATCGGTGTCGATCTTGAAGCGTAGCTGACAAGAAGCGTCTTCAAAAGCACAGGCTGGCATTGACTGAAATAACACATAATGCTGAATGCCAGGCCTATACTCAACACTTAACCCAAAGCACCATAAGCTATTTTCGCCCAGACTCCTAAGGCAACAGTTACCGTTAAAAACCGTATCTACATTTGTGGACCTGACGATATATCCGGAAAAAAATGCAAAAAAACGTGAAAAAGGTACTGCCTTGCCTTTACCTGTATTTAATCCAATCGGACCCCTAGATAATATTCGAAAGGTTACAAAGAATTTAGACATCATCAGTCCACGTGGACACCTTCTACACATCCAGTGGTTCTTTATCCCTTTTCGGTCAAACATTTTACTCAGAAAGACGATTTCTACATAGGATCTCGGATTCGACTTAGGATGAGGCCCCTGAGAGTAGCTGCTTTAATCCACTGTCGCCGTCGATGAGACATGCCCACTTACACTGATATCTTTGTTTACTTTGAGATTAGATGAATGAGTCGAGAGAAATCGCTTTTACACTAAAGCCTCGCTAAAAGATTTTGAGAAGTTCTGATCACTGGCAGTTGGTCGGGCGTCGCTGAAAAAACCTTTAAATTTATTTTCGTGTTCATTCTAAATGCAAGAAATTTTGAAAGTAATTTTGCTGAAAAGAAGCTCTATTTTTATTGGAGGGCAACACAACTACGTTGGAACAAATTCCTCTGACTGGAGGGTCCAAAATGATAGTCAGAAGTTACGAAATCTGTGATAACATGTTGATGAGCAATCTGCAGGTGGAACAACCTTTTCACGGACTCTGCTCATCCCTCTGTCACGCAGGGGCTGTGAATGTGTTTTTGGAGTGTATATTTTCTAAGGGACCTATTTTTTCCTGTAAGCCGATGGCACAGGTTAAAGTGTGAGTTGACTATTTTGACGTAGTTGCTTGTATATGTCCCGGTCTGCATATACTTTGGAATTTGAAACTGTTTTATGTTCAAAGGAAATCACAACAATTCGAAAGTGGGGAAACACGCAGAATTTAATAATGCCCGAGACAATCGAACGTGTCAGGAACATACTCGGGAGCGATTGCTAGTCAGCTAGACTAGAGTGCTTACGCTGCTGGAAGCTTAGTTTGGGCAATCAGCACGCGAGTCTGGAATTTGTAGAAAAAGTCTTCCAAACGAAATAGGGACTAATATACTAGGCGATAAAGAGACGAAGACATTAGAACTGCATCGTTTGACAGAGAAATCGCCGTCTTGGACAAGTCGACTGACAAATGATAAGATTTTATAAGCTACAAAAACTTCATAACCGATGAAGGTCGTCGCAAAAATTATCGCCACTAAGCATTGTAGTTCAATATAAAATCTAACAAGGACCACCTTAGTCATAGGGAGCGAGTAGCTGCTGTACCGCTCAAACACGTCATGCATGTAAAGTCGGCATAATCCTACCTGCTTAGATGGCTTTATGGGGCTAACCGTGTGGTATCAATTAAGTGGGCCAGCAGAACCACATCTCACCGAATCGGTTTAAAGAAATGCAAATTCGCTTAGAATGATTGCATCTGGAATGCTGTAGAGAAACCGGCAGTCAATTTCAATCCAAGACTGACTTTGGAAATGCAGAAAAAATTAGCGTGTCCCGTACTTTTTAAGCGGCAAGAGGCCAGACATGTGCCAGTGAGCATTCCTTTAGGAAATTTTCCTGTCGCCTGTGATGATCGACATGTGTAAAGGCAAAGGCATGATGTTTTAAGGATCCAGACGGTTGACCGCATAAAATGCTACGCCGAAGTGCATAATTTGGCCAAAAACACACAAAAGATTTCGCTCACTGCAGTGGATTTAGTGAGTGAGGGTCACTTCTAGCACCGAGGTTCGCCGAAATGTCCTTCCCTGGTAATACGGATTTCCGGGACTTCAGTATGAATCAACGTCAATCCCTCCTCATCATCGGCATAACAAACCATGGCGGGGAACATTAGTCCTGCTTCTTCATCCGCGTCCGTGGCACGTTCTGATGTGCGAATTACCTCGACGAGAATAAGGACTCATGGGGGAATCGAAGTAAGGATTAAAGGAGAGAGATCAACGGCGACCAGTGCTCCACTGCGAACTCACACTGCCTGTCTACACCATGTCACAGAATATTTTGGCATCCACAAGTCGTACAGTGTGCAATAATTGGGTCCGTTGGATAACCAGGTAAGCCACACCAGACTAACTTCCGGAAGTTACGTACGAAGTCCGGATATCTCCGTCTTTTGTCTCCACTGAAGCAGATGAAATGATTCCTGTGTGGAAGGCGCGGGCGAACAGCAATCTCAGTGACAGTGGGCGAAATTGCCGAGTAACCATCACGCCAACATCCAAAATGCATGATGAAATTGCGGCAATTAACGGCGCGGACGCGGACTGAAGAGCCATCATCGCTCAAATGCGACCCTTCCACCCCCCAGCTGTGATCGCGAGGGCAGTTATGTATGGTACGCATGCAGCCCCACAGCAGCTACGTACTATAAATACTGCAGTCTTTGGGCCTCCACTGCCCTTATCCGCGACCGTCCCTGATGATGGCTTTGAGTGAGAATTCGTAATGTCATGTCAATAAATTTTGGTTACAGTAATCGCATCTTCTTCTTCTTCTTCTTCTTCTTCTTCTGAGATGAAGTTATGTTGTCTGTGTGCCTCGTAGTTGGAAGGAGACAAAACCGAGTATATGTAACGCTGAATAGGTGACATCAGCACAAGCGAGAGGACGGTAAATGACGTGACCCCCTAGAGGACCTCGCGTCTCAGAAATATATTCTCGACGGTTGTTTGTTCTGTTAGCGTTCCATCTTCCCCAGGAGACAGCCATCTATATAATTAGTATCAGTAGTTAATGTACCCGACCTTCTGTTGGGCCGCTTCAAGTTCTCACATCCCAGACTGGGGTTTGGATGACAAATTCGGGCAGAAAAAAATAATTAAATTCAATGAATGAGAAGCGTACCAATGGCAGTACTATCGGCAGCGTGGGCGGATGCAGCTGGCAGGAAGGAGCCAGGACGACAGAGAGACTGGAGAGAGCAGGTGGTAGAGTTGAACGTCGATGGCAAATGCGTATGTTGTGTCGGTAGCCGCCGGTTTGAATGCAGAAATGCCGTTGTCGGTAGATAGCGGGAAGGATGCCGAATGTCGACACTGATGGAGGGACTGTTCTATTGGATTGGAAAGCAACCATTGCCATGACTCGATAAGCTGAGATTGTTTGATGACAGACATATCGATTCACGACAGGATGCCGATAACTAAATCCTCCATATCGTGCTCCCAGCAAGTGGCCAAGGTAAATGTACTTAAAGTCGAGAGGATAAATTGTGATGATTGAGTCCAGACACCTGTAGCAGTGGCGCGTTTGTATTACGTCGGATTCATCACTATCGCGACGGCTTATGTCAGTGAGGTCCTAGCTACTGCGATCACCAGTCCCAATTCCGAACAGGAAGAGAGGAAGGAGGGCAATGTTTTGGGCATGAGGCTGTCTTTAAACTTAGAGGATGTAAAACAGCTGGTCGAAACTGCTGGATGCCTAGTAAACTTTCTAAAATGGAACCGCCATTATGACAAACCTGACATTTTGTCCATAGGGGAAGTTTCATACTGAATTCGCGGACAGTGAAGAAGCAGAGGACAAAACTTGCGGCAAGTACGAGGGGTCACTGATGCTCCCGAACAGTAAGATGTGTGGACAGAACGTGCCGGTATGGAGGCGCATAAGAGAGTTCTTCTAGTCTGTTCGTTCAGTGAGGTGGCAGAACGAATTCTTTAATTACTGCGACTTAAATGGGGGAGTCCACTGTAGTTTGAAGATGTGTGACATTTTAGAGCTAATTTATCTATAAAACGACAAACTGCCACAAACGGAAGTGCCAAAGCCTTCTGGTGTTGTGCTGGTTCAATTACTACCGGAAAGTCTGCTCCAAAATGTCAACTGCCGTTTTGAAAAGAAAACTAAATGGAAGACCCGAAAGCTTATTATAAATCGAAAAGGCGAGATTTGAAGTACCCCGTAGGTACAACCTTGGCTGTTTTCTAGGTGGAGATGCATCGCTCAAAGAGACAGATGGCGATGCGTTACAGACTTAGCGGAATCACGGCTCACGCACTGATGGTTCATGAATCTTTAAATTGTCAAGCTACCGATGTTAGGTGCTTATATATAGGCAAACGAGATGCATCGACGTTGATCGCATCAACTGACCGCGAAGAAGAAACGCGGTTCAGCATTACAATCTGACGAATAGCCAAAATTTTTAATTATGTATTATGTACGTTTCTCAATGTCTTTCGATGCCCGTAAAGATTCAGTTGTATTTCATGAAACAAATTCATATAAGTATCCATTCTTTTGCCCGTTTAGTACGAAATTATATTCTCCTTCAATGTGATACTCGACAGAAGGTTATACTTTGGTTTTCAAAACTTTTCTATTTGTGAGATCCTTGAATACCGTGAAATGGCCGTCCATAAAACGTCATGTCTCTGCAGTTACCAATTTGGCTTTTAATGTAAAGAATAGGGCTCAAATGTGCTGTTGAATTTTACGAGCTGCATGTAGTCTTCTGTTAATACCGTAGAGGAACGTACGGTTTTTTGTACGCGGAAAAGATACGGCTTGTAGTTTAAAAACCCTGAATGTGAGTGTAACGGCAGATCGTGTTCAAATTTATTCGGAAATTGGAATATTTTTTGGAGATCGAATTATACCACTTCTTCGAGTATATAATTTGAAGTAGACGTCATTTTCAATCGAATGACAGGTCCAATGATTTAGTGCACCTAATGCTGGAGGGTTCATTAATAGTTCTAGACGCAGAGGATTGCCTAGATTTTCTGAGGAGTTGAATTCATCATAGGCCGTCTGCAAATTATTTGTTAACCGTGTACTTTTCCTACTAGAATTTCATCTTTCTATGGTATTTAGGGTCTACTAGTTCTCCTTGCCGGAGCTTCCCTTATTTAATTAGCCTAAGACAGATAGGGAAAAAAAGGTGATTGCATAAGTTATTACTGTTGTAACTTATTTTTTAGTCCAAGTATTCGTCAGATAGTAGCCTACATCAAGTCTGTTTTGGGAATCAGCCTAATTCACGCCGTAGGCATGCGAAATTTAAAGTTAACCTGAATCAAGCTGAGGACAAACCTTCGGAAATGAGCCACCATCATCTTTCTCCCCACTATTTGCATGGATGTTTTCTTAAGGTACATCTTTTGGCCTACTTAACACATCTTCCAATAATATTTCATGCTTTAATCGACCGAACTACAGTAAGTAGGTCATCGGCAATTTACGCCAGCACCGTTTAGAAAGAAGGCAACTCTGACGCAAATGTTGTGTGTTATTCACCAGCGATTCTTTCAGGCTGATGACAATGTCAGTTGTTCGTCAATTATCGCTTGTCCTCCGTTTTCTGTACTCGTCTTATCCTCTGTATCCTCTTGAGCAATGAAAACCAGTGCGTAAAAGAGTGCTGTGGTTGGCTGTCTGGCTGGTGTGTAATTGACTGACCCGCAAGTAATTCCAACGTGAAAATTAATGTCCTTGAATAGTGATTGCGTGAGTTATATCTTTGTCCTTCTGAACCCTGCTAAAGCAATCACAGATTACAGACTTACCGCTTCAATCCCGTGTCGGGATTAGGCTTTAGACTTTCTCTAAGTGAATATGATTTGCGAGAGTATCTCATATTCATCTCAGTCTTGCCACCTAATGCGTCGAATTAGTTTTCGGAGTTGATCAGCTGGGATTCTTTGTAGCATTACCAAATGATTGCTTATACGATGCCATCGTCGAGATGCTTATAGGTAAGGCCCATGGGAAAACACTGAAGGTCTTACTAGAGACCTAAAGCTCCTGTAACTGTATGATACAACAGCACAGGGTCGGCGGACGACAAGCGTATGTGCCTTCATCTAGTACTTGTGTTGTTAACACGGATAATCACCTTGTATTTACGTACTGCTGACTGTTGCTTGGCAAGGTGCAAATATTGCGCAGTTGTTCAACAGTACCTGATGGATTCCGACTCGCTTATTCACATGTAACAGATCGGGCCGTGCCTAAACAGCTTTGCTATGGAAGGTTTTCTCAAGTTCGCGGGTTAATTTCCCTCCAAATCAAACAATTACTTTTGGCTGGCGGACAGTAGACGGCTTCGATCTCGGAAAAGAAGTTCTTCCATTCGTTGCTATCCGCGTGTCCTTGGATCTCCTGGGCCTTGCGAGCCGTCCAGGCGTCCTGAATCTCGTGCAGTCGCTGTTGGAGGAGTCGACGACAACGGTAGAAGGCATTTCTGTTGTCGTCCGTGAGGTGGCCTACATAGGCTTTGTGCAGGTGATTCAGCTCGGCGTGCAGGTCGTCGATTGCGGCGTCTTTGTCTTCGGACCAGTCCTGGTGTTGACGGCGTGCATGACCGAGGACGACCAGAGCCGTCGGATGGATTTTGTCCTGCAGTTGACACCATCGATTCTCCACGGAGGCGTTCTCGTCATCGGTTGCGGCAGCGACTGCAAGGCTGTCTACCAGTTGAAGTAGCTCGTTGCTGAAATGACCGTGGTGAGCCAGCAAAAACAACAAGGCAATATTCAACCTACCTTGGGGTGTCTTACCTTGTGGTCTCCTATGTGGCTGTGAGTGAATCCGAATCTTCGAGATGACCAGACGATGATTGGCCTACCCTTGAGGTGTCAGAGCTGGTCTTCGGTGGAGAGAAGACACTGGTGATGGTGGGGAATTTGCCTCCCGAAGAGGCAGGCCAAGGCTCATCGGACGATCGTTTATGCCTTAAGGCAGACAGGGCAGTAGTCCAACGGTGTCCTTTCGGATGGCAACGGCGACACCCGCGTCCCGTCGCTCTGCCTAGGGGCGACCACTCCAGAAGAAGATGAAACTGGCGCTCACCTCCTTCAGTTGGCCTTGTTTGGTGAACCGGATCTCGCTGAGTGCGACGATGTCCACCTTATAGCGCGCCAGTTCCTGAGACATTAGTGCTGTCCTCCGTCTCTGTCAGTTACTCCTCGGATTGTCTAAAAGGGAACGAGCATTCCAGGCTGTCAGAGTGAGCGCACTCACCCTGCCATTCTGGCGTGTGCGCTAACGACGCGGAAGAGGAGGGGAAGTAGAAGATAACGAAGGAGGAGGAGGAAAAGAGAGCGTATCGTTGTTGTTTGTTCGATTTTGAATGTTACGATCTCCAGCATTTCTTTAAGGCATCTTTTCAATCACCTTCCCCTTGCGGGGCAAGCAGCGCCTCATTAAATAGTGCTGGTCTCTAGTGTCAGACGCTGCCGAATTCCACTTTGGACCACGTCTGTGGTGCAGTGAAATAACGACCGGAGTAAGCCTGAAGAGCTTACATCGCCTTAAGATTGTGGTCCATTGCGGAGCACCAGACGGAGCCTCGACTCGACGATGCCGATGAAAAGTTCCATCCGACCAGCCGATCAGCGGAGTCTACAATAACGTGTGCGCATATGCACACACGGATATCCTCGCGTGGTTTAGCCCGCCGATTGAGGTGATTACCGCGCTGTGGTCGCTTGGCAGAGCCTAGTTTCAGGGAACCACATGTGAGAGTTGGGTGCCAGCATATGGACGCTAGGCGTAGTCTACACCTGCAAGCAGGTGAGGGACCTACTACGACCGTTAAGTGAACCCACCGCTGGACACCCTACATCCCGTTACTGCGACTAATCATTCAGCACTTCCATACTGCTTGCTACCAACGGGTAGGTTGTTAATATTCCACGGGTTATTCCATAGTAGCTGACGGATTTCGACTGAATTATTCATACGCAGATGGTCGTACCGCGCCGAAACAACTTTTCTCTGGAGGGTCTATTCCAAATTAGCGGGTCGATTTCCCCCGAAATACAATAAACCTTTAAGAGTTGATGCCAAACGCGCATGCATGATATTGGTGCGTTTTAGAGTTATCAGATCACAATTTGTTCCTTCTGCATAATGATGCCAGCATGCTTCGCATCGCTTAGCAATTATTTTCCCATGCGAAACATAATTTGCTACTTCATTAATGCCCACTTTATAGTGGAAGCTTTGTGTGATTAGTCAAATGAAATGCAGAGTCTTAATGCCTGAGACACACCCTTCCGATCTTCATTAGCCTGTACAATTATATGTTCGAAATCCGCTGTCCAAGGCAAAACATCAGCTTCATGTCGGGCGATCACATCCTGTAACTGATATATTCCTTGTTTCCATCGGCTTCAGACGGCTATATTGTGAGAGTGACGAATTTGACACTGACTATACTACAAACTGAACCAGCATCCTTAGCTCAGCATTTGTGTAGCAAAAAGCGAAAAAAGGAACGACCAAATCTGAACTCGGAAAGTGGAGCTGTGTGATTATCTTAATATCTGAAAAAGGGAAATTGTCTTAATCCTAAATGAGCTCAGTTAAACAAATGGCATAGTGCTGAGAAATCCCTGCAAATTTCCTATTGAAGACAAGCGCGAACACAAAAAAAACATATTCCGAAATAATACGAATTCGTAGATCAAAAATCTTTTGCTATGAAAAGACGATTTGTGTCTCAATTTTGCGCTCTCGCTAATTCCTTAATTTTAAGGACTAAGACCAATTCATAAGAGCATTCGTCGGGCATTTACTTGGTCTGGGCAATATGCAAACTTCAGCAATTTCGTGCTCCTTCAACAGAAATTTTACGTAGTCCATTGTTTGGCGCAATGACTAGCACAATCCTTTCTGCAGATAACGTCAATGGGGAATTCCAAATCGTATGTTACTCCTTGAATTTACTCTCGCTGCGCCGAAGTCACAAATATAATTTTTGACTGAAAATTTCGTCAGTATATGTTTGCTTTGTTAAAAATAGTGTATTGGCGAATTTTGACCAAATAACAGAAATAATATCAGTTTCAGATTACCGAACAGCGAATTATCAGGAGATTCCAACAAAGGTTGCCGTTCACGATATGTTTTACGCCTGCACATCTCATCTCTTCCATAATTCTCGGCTACTTTAAGGCACAATCGAGGTGTGGGCATAAGAAATCTAAAGTGCTTTTTCTTCGGAAAGTTGAATTTTTCCATTTACTGCATTCCTTCTAGATATTCACCATCGTCCATTAACATTTTAACATCGGTAACGGTTTTAGAGGCTGATATTTAGTCATTTCAAATGCTACTACCGAAGTTTTGGAACTTTTCTATGGACTACGTAATAAAACAGTAACTCAACGCTGTGGTCTACAACCCAGAGTAATATACGTACCCATGGCCATAAATCATGAAAGCAATAAAACATTTAGTTTTAAGAACTACTGATCGATCCCAGTCATTCAGATTAGTTCACTGCATCAACAACCGTTACCCTTCAGGATATTCGAAAAGGTGTGTTTTTGTTACGCGGTTTTCGTGTGGACCCCAGTCGTTGACGATCCACTCCAGTTCGTCTTTGTTGGACAAAATAGGTAGGATTTCATTTTGCCTAACAAACCTGTCCGAACCTGTAAATTTTAGATAGATTTTCATGCCCATTTTAAGGCAGGTTCAAAAAAATCACCGCTCCAGATTTCATTTGCACGACAAGACGTTAGAATGCCTCAAGGAATTTGACGCCCAGTAGACGGGCTAACTCATGAAATGTCACCCAAAATCCCGAAATTCTTTACCCTTTCGAAAAGATTAACTAAGTAAGTTTGTAAGATTAGTCAGCTTGCAACATACTTATATAATATTTCAGTTACCTCAGAATGCCGGCTTTCGAATTAACTTCCTTCCGGCTGCCTTAAGAAACTACACTCTGCCAAAAAACAACTACTTAGGGAGAATGAACTTTTCTCTTTGAATTTCGATGTCCCTGAAAGTCCAATTATATTTCATAAAAAACATGCACAAAAATATTTGCTATTTCGCTCATTCAGTGAACAAGTACGTGTTTTCAAATTCTGTACTCAAAGAAGCTGTATAATTTGATCTTCAAAACGTTTCTAACTACCGAATAATTTGAAACACACTCTATCGTTACACTTCCATTCAAGGTTTGCAAACTACAAGCCGTGTATTTTCTAAGTGCGGAGAACCACACATTGCTCTACGGTAATAAAAGAGGACCATAAAGGGGTTTCTAAATTTGCCTTGTATTTGATCCATACTGTTAACTTCACATGTCGCATTAGTAAAAGCAGAGACATGATGTTTTATGAACAGCCATTTCATGGTATTGAAACGTCCCACCATTGGACACCTTTTTAAAACCGAATTTTACCTGCACTTCGGGTATAAAATTGGAGGAAGACGCAACTGTCTACCGAATGAGCAAAAATGCTGAATATTTATGTGGAGTTGCGAAAATTCTCATTGTAATGGTTGCATAAGCGAACACGACGTAGAGCACCTCCGACCCGTCGGTACGCATATACCTTGATTATATGGTTTGCCGAAGATCGACAAAGATGGCGTACCAGTTCGCCCAATCCTCGATATGAGAAGCTCGCCGTATCATGCAATAGTGAAATGGCTGGCGGAGAAACTTAAGCCTCTGCAGTATCAGCTAGCGCCACAAAGCTATCGAGATACTTTTGAATTCATCAACGGCGTGAAAGACTTCGATCTGAACGAAATGCTTATGTTTTCGTTAGACGTCTCGTCCCTTTTTACGAACGTACCGATAACGGAAACGGTCAACTACCGTTGTGATTTCATTGCCAACACAGAAATGCCAGTAAATGCCCTCAAGCAATTGTTATTGAGGTGTACCTTAAACGTGCAGTTCCTATTTGACAAAAATCTATATAGGCAGATGGACGGCGTAGCAGTGGGCTCGCCCCTTGTCCCGCATTTGGCGGATATATTCATGCGAAAATTAGAAGCTTTCCAGCTACGTCACCAGATCAACGGTCTAAGATACTATGGGCGATACGTGGAGGATATATTCGCGATTGCACCGAAACTAAGCGACATCTCAATTCTATTGGATGACAGAAATCAGGCGCACCCATCAATAAAATTCACTCTGGAAGAAGAACAGTCCGGTTCACTTCCCTTTCTGGATGTGCTTCTGAGTAGAAGACCGGACGGCAGCATTCGACGTAGCGTCTATCGTATGAGAACGTGGTCCGGACAATACACCCGTTTTGGTAGTTTCGTACCGCTAAACGTTAAACGTAATTTAGTCCGCTGTTTGACAGAAAGAGTGAGAAGAATCTGCTCAGCTGATAGGGTTGAGAAAGAGCTTAAGACCATCGAAAGCCTATTTCGCCAAAACGGGTATCCTGACCGATTTATCGCTATGAACATGGCCGAAAGACCGCAGAAGCCCCCGATACTGACGGCAGGAAAGAAAAGGCTCTTTATCAGGCTTCCATTTCAAGGGGATGCACCAAGTGAACTTCTGAGAAGACGTCTAACCCAAGCTGTATCACAGACCTTTCCAGCAGCTGACATCCGTGTGTTGTTCTCCACCAGTCCCATCCTATACGGAGAGGGCAAGGACAAACTACCAGCTCAGACCACCTCTATGTGTATTTACTCCTTCACCTGCTTCTGTGGGGCAGAATATATTGGTCGCCCGGGCCGGCGTTTATCCAAAAGAATGAAAGAACATCTCCCAGCATGGTTAGGAAAAGGACAAAAAAAGAACATCAACAGCTCAATCCTCGCGCACATGGTAGACGCAGGCCACCGTGTAGACGCCGCAGAGGCCTTCAGAGTGATCTACAAGGTCCCATCAAGCTATCCAAAACTGCTTGGGTAGCGCTTGTTGGCTACGGCAGAGGCGGCTGCTATTAGGCTATGCGCGCAGAAGAATTTCGTGCAGGCCCCACAGTTACCATGAGTCAAAGCCACCAAGCCAGCCACCCGCATGTAAATACCTTCGCCGAATCCCACCTTCTCCCTGTCGCTGACTGGAATTATGTTGTTTCACCCTCCCCTTCCCTCTCCAAACTCAAGCAACAGATTAATTATCTATTTGCCTGTATCTTATGCATTCATTACTTCAATAGCCAGATAAATGTACAGGCCTGAAGAGAATTTATCGAAAGCAAACGTATGTTCGCCAAATTGTCTTTTGAATATTTTTTGCATGTTTACCAGGTAATATTGTTGGAATTTTAGGAACATCGAAAATCAACGAGAAAAATTCGTTCGACTTATATAGTTAGTTTAAACATAGTGTATTTTGTGTACGCAGCCGGAAGGAAACTTATTTTAA